ATAAATCATACGCCCATATGTCCTTTAATCATAGATGTAATATTTGTGTAGGTCCTCCTTACAGAGTTACTTAGGAATTAGATTACGGTGTAGTAGAAAGAGACAAAGGTGTTGTTCCAAACTGTCTTTTCTGATCCACCAAGAAGAAATGAACTCTTCCTCCTTTATGCCATTATGTAGCTATTTAAAAATATTTCCATCATTATTATTAATGATAATATCTACTATTTATTATGTAGTTTTCATTTGTCAGAAACTCTGCTAATCAGTTTATATGAATTATTGCAATTCAAACTTACAGTAGCTAATGAAGTATGTTCTCCTCATTTCTCTAAGAAGCCCATGAAATAGCATGAGCAGAAAGCGTTAATGATTTGTCAGGGGTCGCCCATTTAATAAGAGTAAAACCGGCATTCAAACACTTGGACTGTCATTTCAGAGTTCACACTTGAACCACTGTATTGTACTGTCTTTCACAGTTATATTTTCACATGTCTGTTTTGTCTACTACTAGTATGTCACAAGTTTGAGAGAACATACTTTGCAGGTAGACTAAATTCATTGTCATCATCAAGTTGATCTTTACTCATAGCAACACTATAAAACAGAGTAAAATTGTTCCATAGAGATTATTAAAGTTCAAATCCCAGCTCTACAACTTCCTGTGTATTCTTGAAAAGTTGCTAATCCTCTTGGGGCCTCAATAATATACCACTTTTAAAATGGGCATAATAATAATGCCTACATCCTAATATTGTTGTGAGGATTAGAAGAGTGCCAGTATCTGTTAGCTTCTTGAATCACTGAGTCAAGAGCTTCTCGATGGCAGGGGTTGCATGTCATTCATCTCTCTTCCCCACTTTCAAGCACCGTGTCAGGTACTGTCAATTCTTAAGATATATATTTTTGAGTAAATGAGTACATGGTTGAAGGAATAAGTTGATAAATAAATAAATACTAATGAACTATATTGGTTCCTAGTATGGGACTCTGGGCTAATGATATGGACTGCAAAGTCATTTGAACTACAAGATGAGTGGTTCAAGCTCACCAGCCATTCCTTGGAAGCTCTATACTGGGTTGCTATGGGTAGGAACAGATTTGACGGTACTTAACAACAATAATAACAAGTAAATTGTATTGATGGGAAAATAATTTAGTTCTTCTCTTCTTTGTGGCTTTAACAATTTTGCTTTTCCAAATGAATAAGTACACTTCAACCTATGACTGCAACTCATAAAATCTCAGTGATGTCAGAGTCCAAGAAGTAAGTGTGCCTTTAGTGTGTCTATACTCAATTCAGAAATCTGTCATACATTGATGATGATGATGATGATGATGTTTGTGTGTGTGTGTGTGTGTGCGCACATGTATGTTGGTGGCAGGCAAGTGGAGTAGTAAGTAATAACTAAGAAGCTTTCTGAATTTATTTTTCCCCAGAGAGAATTCTAAGGTAAAAGCGATACCTTTTTTTTTCTGATCATTGTCAACATGTGGGCCCTCTTCTGCCGTCATTTTCAAGTCTTCCAGAACAAGAAGGGATGTAATAGAACTCAATCTCATTTATCTTAATGATTTCAGGGCTCCAAGATAAGATGTGAAATATTCCATCAGAGACTTTACACAAAGATCTTTGTTTATTCCCACTGAAATCTATTATGGTGGACTCCTGATGAGATACAGTGGGCCCAGGAGAAACATAGTTCAGTCTCTAATTGCACATTGTGTGGCTGAAAATGTACATCAAACTGAGCTTTCCTATTTGAGAATTTATTCATTATTTTACTCACCCCCTCTGTGTCTGCCTATCTATTGTAGGAATGGAAGGAGAAAGGTCTTATTTTATGCTGCTCTGGCACAGAATAGACTCAAATTATGAGTTTAAGTTAGCTTGATGATAGGGGGTTAGGTCACTGACTTTCATTCAATATTCACTGTGCATCTTTTCTGAATAATGAAAATTTAGGAGGCTTTGTTCTGAGGAAGACAAATGTGAGAGAGATCTCTAAATTCATCATACTAAGTCACTTATTTTGCAGATGGAAACTGGTGAATAAAGTGTTATGCTCTGAATTGTCTCTTTCAAAAAATATAATGTGTCCTAACCTCTGTAGGCAGTCTGGTGTAGTGCTGAGGGATAATGCACTGGACAACAGGGTTGGCAGTTCAAACTCATCAGCTGCTCCTTGGAAACCCTATTCAGGGTCTCTATAAGTCAGAACTGACTCGATGACCCTTAACAATAGCAACAACAACAACCTGTGTACCTCTTAATATGACTTTGTTTGGAAATAGGGGTTTTGAAGATATTATTAGTTAACCTGAAATTACACTGGAGAATGGCTAGTCCGAATTCCATCTGAGCAATTTCCTCATAATAAGTGAGAAAAGATACAGGAAGACAGACTGAGGAAAGAAGGCCAGGTGAATATGAATCCATACATCAAAGAACGACTGTACCAACCATAATTTTGGAAACACGAAAAGAATCTCCCCCTAGAGACTTCATAGAAAACAGCCCTGACAACACACTGTATTTAAACTTCTGGCCTCCAGAATTTTGATATAATGAAATTCTTTTCCTATAAGATACCCAATTCATTTTACTTTGTTACAGCAGCCTTTAGAAACTAATATAAAAAGGTTTACAGTGACCTGGTCATTGCCACTAGTACTACAGCTAAAATAAAGACACTTCCTCTTTCAAACAATTTTTGTGCCTTATGTACACTTGTACAATCATATGTATGTTACTTTATTTAAGTTATTTGTGTCCCTGTCTTCTCTGAGGAAAAGATATGTATCTATTATCCTGAGTGCTCAGACCCCTAAATGTGGTTTAACTTCCAATCTATGCAGCAATCTTTCCTTGCTTATCCTAGGCTGGAGTCATCTATTTTTTAGTTCATTAATTCCAAATATTTAATGAGTACATTTAATGTCTAAACTGCTATAATAAATGAGCAGGATACTGAAGACAGACATGGCTCCTGCCCTCAGAAAAATATTAATCACAGTACTTACCATTCACTTTTATAATTATAGTTTATTGTCTGTCCTTTCTTAGACCTCTGGTTACATGAGGGCAAGATCTTTATTTGGTTTATCAGTCAATCTCTAGTGCTTGTTACAATACCCACTCTATAATAGTGCTCAATTCTTTTAAAAATGTTCATTTGAGTGCATTTTCTTCCTTAATATGTTGTGAGGAATAAAGCTCCTCACCATTTTTCATGTTCAAGTATATTTTCATAACTACTACAACAACAGCTATTAAAATTTAGAGTATCTTCTATATAGAATCATTTTGTTGTTTCACATTATCTCATCTCTAATAAAAAATAATATTATTCCAAATTGTTTGACGTGCTTGAGACTTCTGATTGGATAAGTGACATGAGCAAAGTCACAAGGCTTCTAAGTGGCACAATCAGGACTTGAACTTGCATCTGCTTCATTACAAAGTCTGTATCCTTTCTAAGTAGACACCTGTATTTCTACTTAGGGCAAATCTGAGAAAATTCATAAAATTCCTACTGTTCAAAACAAGAAACATAATAAAATTGTATTATTCCAAACGCAGTAGGTACCCCATAGCTGCTAGGATGGCCAAGGGTACTTTTGTATACCATGAAAGAGAAGGTGCAATCTAAGAAAAGTGTTTATATACTAATCACAGCAAAAAAGAACAACAACAAAAAAGTTTGAATATGGGTGCCCTGACACCCAGTTTGAAATCTAAGGAAGAAATCTTTCTGAAAAATATAAAGCACTGGTGTTTTGTTTTGTTTTGTTTTTTCTTGCTTTTTGTTTTTGTTTTAATTATCAAATTATCTTTCTTTAAAATCCAAAATATGTAGTAAATGGCACACTTAATTTCTAAAAAGTTTCAAAGAACCAGTTGTTGACTGTATTAAATCTTACAGGAATTTAAAAGATTTTTCAACATTGTAATTTTAGGAGTAAATTTCCTAATTACTAGGGCCCAGATTTTATTAATAATTAACTGATTATATTTTACTTAGTTACACAGTGGATTTTTCATAGTCAAACTTGTATTTGATTGGTAGAAACAAATTTGTATATTTGTTTTTGTATATTGCTATTTAACAGCATTTGATCTCATTCCCTAACTCATGCCCTTCCCACCCTCAATCCATCTATTTTAATTTCAAAACACTGTTGTGTTACTATAGGTGCTAACTGTGGAGAACCCTTGACTGGTAATGTAAAGGAATTTGTAGAAGGAATTAGCTTTATGATGTCTCATGTGTAATAATGGCTTGTACATCTTCACCAAGATTTATTGAATCATGGCAATAAATGGAGCATAGAAGATATTTATAGCTAATCTTTATGAAGAGCTACATGACAGGAATTATGATAGGTATTCTACATGGGTTTAACTTAATTTCTTCCAGCAATACTGTGACTACAATCAACTGGCATGGTAGAAGAGTAAGGATATAATCAGATAGTAGAAGAGTAAGGATATAATCAGATATTCTTTCACAAGAGGTTGAGAAGTTGTGCAAGACTGATCAAAAAGAAGTAACACTATATTTCACAACGAACCAGAGACCAAGAGGCATTAATTACCCTGTCCCAGGTCATAGCCCTAAAGAGTTTACATTAGTTGCTAGGCAACTTGATTGCCAATTCCATGTAATTTTCTCTCTACTTATGCTGATGAAGAATGCATTAATGTCTCACATTCTTATTTAAAAGACATTATGTTTATTTCTTCATATATCCAACCAAAACCAAACCCATTGACATTGGGTTCCATTTGACTCATAGTGACAGTGTAGTACACAGTATAACTACTCCTTTGGGTTTCTGATACTGCAAATCTTTACAAGAGCAGAGAACATAAATGTTCTCTCTCAGATCAACTGTTGGGTTTGAAACGCCTACTTTGTAGTCAGCAACCCACATCTAACCCACTGAGTCACCAGAACCCCTTTCCTCCATATATAGAAGAACCAAACTGCACTCACCGGTACTGGACTGAACAATCCCAGAGTCTACTGTTTGTCCAAGAAGATCATACTGGTTGAGGCGTGACCCATCTTCTGCTACAACTACTGAACGTGCGGGCTCTCTGGTCCACTCATAAACAACTTCTGCTCTTGTATAAGCATCTAAAAGAAAAGAATGGAAAATAGTACGTGTGCATTGTTATTTTATAGTTTCTAATTAGTAGGAGTCCTTACCAGAAGGTCAGCAGTTCAAATCCTTTATAGGTTCGCTCTGAGTTTGAACTGAATCAACAGCACTTAACCACAACAAAAATTGCAGGAATCCTGGTATGGTGCTGGGGGAACTGCAGTGGACTGATAACTGCAAGGTTAGCAGTCCAACTCCACTAGTTGCTCCTCAGAAACCCTATATGGGGTTGCTATGAATCCGAAGTGACTCAATGATACTTAACAACAACAGCAATTAGCTGATGTATTTCATCTGCCTCGTATTTTCTACAATATGGTTAGAGAAGTAGGATTAGGAAAACGATTTTTTCTGATACATTCAGTTATTTTTTCACTCTCCCAACAACTGTCTATTAAATATCTACAAAGTAAAAAATGCAAAGAACCATGCTGGGGAAACAGCAGTGAACATAACAAATGAGGTTCCCTTCTCTTTTGGTACATACATTATGGTAGTTGTTGTTATTTTTGTTAAGTGCCATAGAGTCAATTCCAGGGTAGGGGGCAATAAACAGGTAATCAAATACATGTATAATTTCAAGTAAGGATAAGTGTAATAAAGTCATTTACAACAGAATGATACCTATTAACTTCAGTAAAAGAGCAATAAGTGGTCTCCCAGGTAATGAAATTTATAGAAAAGCATGATTATGAGCCATCTTAAAGTCTTGAAGATAATTTACTGGCTAAAGGAAATGACAAGTTTCTTAGATTACATCAAGAATAAACTTGATATGTTTCAGTTAAATCAGGAATACCAGTGTGGTGAGAGAGAGATACGTGATAGATCAAATAAGATTAATGGTGGTAGCTTGAGTTCAGGTTATATCAGGCCAGAGTAAGGTCATAATAAATGTAAAAGGAAGCATTGGAAAACATGTACTATGGCAATTTTCAAATGAAGACTAATTTCACATCCTTAGTTATTAATTAATTTTAATTGATATTACAATACTGATGTTGCTGCTTATTGTGATGATAGTTCTTGACAGTTCTCAGACATTTTAATTTGTCATATCATGTTTAATCAAGTCATTTTCCTATATGCGAGGATAGATCATAACTCTGATCTCTGACTTGTGTAGGTGGAGTGAGGAGGTTGTATAGCATGAGAGAGAATAAGGAGAAGTAATCTCATTTCCTTTTAGATTTTTAGTCACAGAAGACATATTCTCTGTTTAGTTGCAGGATGGTAGAATGATGTTAAAAGTTTAAATAATATCACATTAGAAAAGAGAAGTCTAAACTGGCATTATTTCTGGATTATCAATTAGGTATTTTCTAGTAACAATCATTGCCAGAAGTCTAAGACATTGTACTAGGAATTAATGTATTGGTTACTGCCTTTTACATGAAATACGCTGTTATTAGCAGCCGTAGAGTTGGCACCAACTCAATAGTGACCCTTTGTACAACATAATGGAACATGCTTGGAACTGCCTCACCACCACAATTGTTGCAATTTCTGAGCCCATTATTCCAGCCACTATGCCATTTCATCTTATCTAGGGTTTTTCTCTTCTTCACTGACCCTCCACTTTACCAAGCATGATGTTGTTTTCTAGGACTGGTTTCTCTTTATAATGTGTCCAAAATATATGAAAGGAAATCTCACCTTTCTCACTTCTAAGGAGTATTCTGGCTGTACTTCTTCCAAGACAGATTTGTTCTTAAGTGAAACAAGTGAGTGAAAAATGATTAATTTGTCCTCTTTGATTTCTGTTTTGTAGATTTCTGAAACATTACTGTGTTTTATACAATGTGCATCTATTAGAGGGTCCAAAATTGGATTTTTAAAAGGTTTCTTAGAGGATTTTCAAGAGTTGAGCACACTTGGTTATGCAGAAGTATTTTGCTTACAATTCATAGGTATCTACATTCAATGAAAAGTTCTTCCTAACAGTGAGAAACACTTTATTTAAAAAAAGGTATTTCCTGACAAATTTATAAGTTTATAGTAACATGGAATCATTTAATGTTCAATTGAAGAGCCTTGCTAGTGTTGTAAAGTGCTGTGGAGTCAGTTTCTAATCATAGTGACCCTATATAGGGTTTCTGAAGCTGTAAATTTTTGTGGGAGAAGAAAACTTCATTTTCTCCCACAGAACATCTGGAGGGTTTCACCTTGTAGTTTACAGTGCAGTGGTTATCCTACAGATGCACTAGATTCCTTGCATTTGTTAGCATTTCTTAGCAAACTCATTGTGTTTAAAAGTATCTAGGCCAGCAACTCTAAATATGACATCCATTATGAAAATGGAGAGTAATCATTGATCATGCTTCTCAATGGAAGTATACCAAAATTAAGAGTAACATTATTTATGGTGACTCTTGCTATTTTAAAATATAGAGGGCAGACATACTGAAGTCCTAAAAATAGGTGATATATTCTATTGTTTCCTCATACTTTATTGTGAAAATTAAGTTCTATGAAAACTTAATTGACTTGAGACTACTCAACATAAATAAGTGATAAAAGAGCCTTTAGCTACTTATTCAAAGAATTTAAGGTCAACTTTCAGAAAAATCAGATGACATAAGAAATTTTAAAAATAAGATTAGAAGGATTTGGTTAAGGTTACACATTAACTTTATGAGATATAAAAACTGGGAACACAGATATAGTAGCAAGACAGCAGCTATTAGTTAACATTATCACTTCACTTTTCTAGGCTGCTGATTTTCCATTTGTATAATGAGATAGGTAGACTAAATAGTTATTAAAGTTATAATTTACTCAGAATTCATTTACATGTATATATATCTCTCTTTGTTTACAAAATGCAGTGCTCGATAGTCACTAAATGAGTATTTATAAATCCATACTAGTTATAGCCAGGAGAAAGATGAGGCTTTTTGCTCCATGAAGAGTTAAAGCCTTGTAAATCCTATACAGGATCACTGTGAGTTGGAACCGACTGGAGGACATTTAACAACAACTAGTTATACTGCTTGTCTAGAAAACAAGATCCAACATCTGAATCTCTTCTTTCAGAATCAAAGCCATAATCTTCCTTTTTTTGAAAAAAAAGCAATTAAAAGATACTGTCTGCATCATGCATTTCATCTTCAGGTTATCTGGCCTTATTAAGAAGACTTTATCCCTAACAAGCAGAAAACACAATTTAGCACTGGCAAACAGAATTAAGTAGACAGCGGTAAGGAAAACATCTGTTTTTCAGAGTTGAGTTCTTATCAACATATTAACTGTGTTGCTTCCTAAGCTCCATAAACATTTATTATAGTGTTCTACTAAATAAGAACTGCCCCTTGCTTATCTCTTAATTATTTTCTTTGATATTTTAGCCATATGTTTGTCCCAAAACAGGCTGAAAGCATTTTTAGCACACTTTCTGACCTCAGTTTGTTTGCCTTTGAAATGTGCTAATTAGAAGAGTTTGGAGAACTAAATACATAACAAGTCGACCACTATCTAGTCCCATGTCCATACTGGCAATGACAATTAGTCATGATGTGCTCCCCCACTGAGTATACACTGTCTGAGCCTGTCTGCCACTGTCAAGACTTCTCTGTTTCAATTTAGTGCCCCACAGATCTTAAACCAGCTCTATCAAAGCTATCTTTTCCAAGACTTAAACTTTAATAAGGTACTTAAACATCTAAGGACATCTTATGATATCAGCCCTCTTAAGATGTTAAACTAAAAGGAGCTCTGGTAGCGTAGTGGTTACGAATCAGGCTGTGGACCTTAAGGTCAGTGGTTCGAAACTACCAGCTGCTCCATGGGAGAAAGATGAGGCTTTCTACTCCCATAAAGATTTACACCCTCAGAAACCCTGTACAGGGTCGCTATGAGTCGGAACCGATTCGAAGGCACTTAACAACAACAACAAGATGTTAAACTAACCAGTAATCAGGTATCTTATATGAAAACATAGACCTATCATTTTTGCCCTCCAGTCACTGATGAAAACATTCCTGACTGGGTTTTTATACTTAATACTTGTCAATATGTACTTAATATGTAATATATTTTTCAAACCAGGACACATGAGGTAGAAAGGGGCATTGCTAATAATGATGTTAGGATAATACACATAAAAAATCAGTATGTGTTATATGGTCAGCCTACCGCTAAGGTTGTTTTGCAAAGTTGAAAAGTCATACATCTGGCAAAGAACATTAAAAGTATCATGGACTGCTAGAAGAACAAATAAAGCTGTCTTGGTAAACATACAAGCAGAATGTTCCTTAGAATTGAAGTAGTAAAACTTCACTCTTGTGCTTTGGATGTGTCAGGAAGGACCAGTCCTTAGGGAAGGACATCATTAAGGATAAAGTAGAAGGCCAGCGAAAAAGAGGAAGAAGCCCAACAAGATAGACTGATACAGTGGCAGCAACAATGGGCTCAAGCACAGAAACAGTTGTGAGGATGGTGCAGGACTGGTTAGTGTTTGGTTCTGTTGTGAATAGGATAACTGTTAGTGGGAGCTGACAGCAGCAACATACATTTAAAATGTTTACTATATTATTGGAAATACAATACACACAGATCTATTGTCAATCCTGGTGTGGTGCTCTGAGATAAAGCATTGGACAGCAAGGTCAGTTTGGACCAAAAGTGTGGCAGTTCAAACTCACCAGCCTCTCCTTGGAAACCCTATAAAAGGTCACTATGAATTGGAACCTATTTGATGTCACTTAACAACAACAATTGTTAGTATTACAAATGGAACTGCTAGTGAAAACATGAAATAGTCCATCATATATCAAAGACTCATTAAATTGTGGAAAAGTTGGAGAAACGGTAGTTATCACCAAAGTCATTTTAAATGAAGTTTGTGAAGTAGGCTATCCTTGAATTTCAATATAGAGAGAGATTTATAAATAAAGAAAGTAATTTCTCTGTGCCTGGTGATGTTAGGAGCTTGAAGGTCCTTTGCTTTTTTTTTTGCTTACTGTCTTCCTACACTACCAGTCTTTTTCGTCTATGAATCATATCTTCACAAAAATAGTTGCTCAGACTGCCTGTATACTGAGAACAGAAAAAGTTAGTTAAGTAGTTCAGGGGTTGACTCAGCCATGTACGTAACTCCTCTGCAGAAAACCAGGAATAAATTATCTTCACTCACTCTAATGCACATAACTAATAAAAAGCAGAATGGTTAACAACACCAGAGAACCTACCACTCCTTGTCATTGCTCTCATGACTTTTCTAAGATAATCCTGCTTATTTTCAAATGGCAGAAACCCAAGAAATCATTATAATGGACTATCAAAGAGCACTAACATATGTATGAATTCCATGAGATATCCAAATGAATCTAGGACTTCCAGAGTACAATTAGGGTAAGTTGCTGATAACATCTGTTAACTGTAGGTTTCAGCATTAAGAAATAATTATTGTTGTCCTATTCCGCCTACTAATGCTTCCATCTGACAAATAAGTTGAATTATTTTTAAAGTCAAAGAAGTACCAGTAATAATGTAAAATGAAAAGAGTCGTCTTTTTATTTTTGAAAGAATATATTATCCATGTAGAAGCAGCCATACGTTACTCCTTTTTCATGAATACAACTTCAACAACAACAACAAAAAATTATTTCACTAAATGCATGCTTTCTAGGCCAGGAAACAGCAACAGATTTTCTGAAATGGCAAATTTAGATACTGAAGTCAGACATCATTACTTATAGAAAGTTCTTATGGGGTATTGCTCCTTAAGTTTTCTTGAAAATCTTTTCTGTTTCTCCAACACATATCACTGATTGGCAGTCTCCTAACAGCATATATAAGTTTTAAAATAAATTTACTTACAGCTCCCAAATTTTAGTGGGCAAGCATGGGCATCCATAGGGAAGTCCTCCAAGTGCATTGGACATTCAGCTCTCACCGTCAGCCTTGTCAATTAAGAGAAACAAAGTACACAAAAAGGAGATCAATATATTAGATGTTTTGTTGTTGTTGTTTTTAAGTGCCATCAAGTCAGTTCTGATTGTAAAGTGTTTCTGAGGAGCAGCTGGTGGGTTTGAACCACCGATCCAGTGCTTATACTATAGTGCCACATCAGGGCACCCTATATTAGCTACATCCTGACAAATGTGGCTGGGATATTACTTGCTGTAGCAAACATAATAACAAAGTTACATGACAGAAACAACATGCAAGTCATGCTGATCTGTTAATAATATAATTACCAAAGGGGAAAAAAAAATTACAAAATGATTGTATTTTTTTCTGCTTGTTTCTAGAAAATAGGGGAAAACTGATTTGTGTAATCTGCAGACATTGCCAATGTTTTTCAAAATAGGAATTACCAACTAATTCACCTAACTACAGCAAAGTTTTGAAAATAAAACTGAATGTTAGCAAATACAATTTTATTTAAGTATTAATTCATTCTTGGTTGTGAAGAAAGCATGGATATGAAGGAAGAGAAGCAAATGTCTTAAGTGCATCTCTTCCAACATTCTTTCCTAAAATAGCACCAAATATATGTATCTAAAATGAAGCAATAAGAAAAGGAAGAACTATTATAAGGTTTGATGAGAATGACATTTGCTTGCAGTCTCTTTAAGAGTAAGTATATGATCAATGCTTCTCTTTGGGATTCTTTCCCCTTGAGACTGTTGTTGACTGCCATCAAGTTGGCTGCAACCCACAACTACCTTATGCACAACAGACCAAAACATGGCAAGGTCCTGTGCTGTCCTAACAGTTGTTATGCTTGAGCCCATTACTGCAACCTATGTGGAAATACACCTAATTTGAGGTCTTTCTCTTTTTCTCTAACCCTCCATTTTACCAAGCATGACGTCCTTCTCCAAGAATTGGTCCCTCCTGATAATATATGTTAAAAATATGAGTGACAAAGTTCCCCATCCTGGCTTCTAAGAAGCATTCTAGCTGTACTTTTTTCAAACACAGATAATGTTTGCTTTTCTAGCAGTTCATGGGTACTTTCATTATTCTTTTTCAAAGTCATAACTTACATGCATGAATTCTTCTCAGGTCTTCATTATTCATTGTTTAACTTTCACATGCATATGATGCTATTGAAAATACCATGGATTGGGCCAGTCCTCAAACTAATAACTTTGCTCTTGAGCACTTTAAATAGAACATGTGCTTAAGGCAATATGTCATTTGATTTCTTAACTGCTGCTTCCATGAGTATTGATGGTGGGTCCAAGAAAAATGAAGTTATTTGACAAGTTCAATGTTTTCTCCATTTATTATGATATTATTTACTGGATTAATTCTGAAGATTTTTGTTTTCTTTACATGGAGGTGCAATACTTACTTACAGCTGTGGTCTTTGATCTTAACCATTGTTTTAAGTCTTCTTTGCTTTAAGCAATCAAGGTTGTATAATCTACATTTGCAAGTGCGTAATGAGTTTGCCTCCAAACCTGATGTCATGTTCTTCTTCCTATAATCCAGTTACTTGGATTTTAGATCAGCATTAAGATTGAATAAGTATAGTGAAAGAATATAACCCTGGTGCACACCTTTCCTTATTTTAAACCATTCTTATCCCCTTATTCTTTTGTAACAACTGCCCATTGGTCCATGTACAAATTCCTTCAGGAGCACAATTAAGTGTTATGGAATACTCGTTCTCTTCAATGGTGTCCATAGCTTGTCATGATCCACACAGTTGAAAGCCCTTACATAGTCAGTAAATTAGAAGGAAACATCTTTCTGGAATTCACTGCTTTCAACCAAGATCCATCTGATGTCAGTAATAATATCCCTTGTTCCACATACTCTTTTGAATCGGCCTGAATTTCTGGTAATTCCTAGTTGATGTTCTGTTGTGATCACTTTTTTATTATCTTCAGCAAAATTTTACTTGCATATCATATTAATATTGTTTGATGATTTTCACTTGCCTGTCTCTTAGGAATGGTCACAAATACAGATACCTTTAAACTGTTGACCAGGTCTCCCAAATTTTTTGGTATAGGTGAGTGAGCACCTCCAGTTTTGCCTCAGTTGGTTGAAAAATAGAAATTTGTGGCCCATCAATTCCTGGAACCCTATTTTACACCAATGTCTTCAGTGTAGTTTTAACTCCTTCATTTGGTACCATCTGTTCCTGATCATATGCTATCTCTTAAAAAGATTGAACATCAACCATTTCTTTTTGGTACAGTGAATCTGAGTATACCTTCCATCTTTGTGTGATGCTTTCTGCATCATTCGATATTTTGCCCATAAAATTCTTCAATATTGCCAGTTGAGGCTTGAATTTTTCTTCAGTTCTTTCATCTTGAGAAATGCTGAGTGTGTTCTTCTCTTTTGGTTTTCTAACTTTGGGTATTTGCATATTTCCTTCTAATACTTTGTCTTCTCAACCTCTGCAATTTTCTGTTCAATTATTTTACTTACTTATTTCTTCCTTTTGCTTTAGTACCTCTATGATGCAGAGCAAGTTTTGGAGTCTCTTTTGACATCCATTTTGGTCTTTACTTTTTAATGACCTTTGATTTCTTCTTGCATCATGTTCTTGATGTGATTCCACAACTTATTTTGGTCTTTGGTCATTAATGTCTAATGCATCAAATCTGTTCTTTAGATGAGCTCTAAATTCAGGTAGGAAATGTTAAAGGTCATGTTTTGTCTCAAATAGACTGCTTTTGATTTTCTTCTTCATCTTGAACTTGCTTATGAGAAATTGATGGTCTGTTCCACAGTTGGCCCCTGACCTGGTTTTGGCTGATGATATTGAAAATTTCCACAGTTTCTTCCCACAGATGTAATCAATTTGAATCCTGAGTATAACACCTGGCAAGGTCCATGTGCATAGTCAACTTTGATGTTTTTAAAACAGCTATTTCAATAAATAAGTCATTAGTTTTGCAAAATTCTATCATGTAGTCTCCAGCATCATTTCTATCACTATGGCCACATTTTTTAACTACTGATCCTTCCTCTTTGTTTCCAAACTTCATATTCCAATCACGAGTAATTATCAATACACCTTGATTACACATTTGATCAATTTCAGAGGGAAGCAGTTGGTAGAATTGTTCAATTTTTCCATTTCTGGCTTTAGTGGTTGGTGTGTAAACTCGTGTAATAGTGGTATTGACTGTTCTTCCTTGTAGATGTATGGATACTATCCTATCACAGACAGCAGTGTACTTCAAGATAGATCTGGAAATACTATTTTTGACAATGACTTTGACACCATTCCTCTTCAATCTGATGTTCCCAATAAACCATGTTATCATCAGATTAAACAGTCAATACCAGCCCATTTCAGCTAAATAATGCCTAGGATATCTATCTTTATACATTTCATTTCATTTTTGACAACTTCCCATTTTCCTAGATTCATACTTCCTAAATTCCATATTTTTATTATAGATGAAGACCCCAGTGAGATGGATTGGCAAAGTGGCAGCATCAATGGGCTCAAGCATGGCAATAATTGTGAGGCTGGCCCAGGATTGGGCAGTGTTTTGTTCTGCTGCATATATGGTCATTATGAGTCATTGCCAACTTAATGGCACCTAACAAGAACTAAAAATTATTAATGGATGTTTGCAGCTGCTTCTTTTCTTTTCTTTTTTTTTTTTTTTTTTTTTGTGTGTGTGTGCCCCACCAACAAATAAAGGTCCCAAAAGTTTTAGTCCATTCACATCATCATGGTTCACAAGAGGGCACTTCCCCAGTTGTATTTTGAGTATCTTTCAACCTGAAGGACTCACCTTCTGGCACTGTGTTTGATCATATTCTGCTGCAATTTATATGGTTTTCTGTGGCTAAACTTTCAGACCTTTCTGCCTCTTCTTCTTCCTAGTCAACAAAAACTTGTCCTCCATTAGATACCCTGATGGTATTTAAAATACCAGTGGCATAGCTTCCAGCATCACAGCAACATGAAAGCAACCACAGTGTGACAAATTGACAGATTAGTTGTGGTCTTTCATCATTATTTCCCAATTTTTTTTTCCATATTCACTACCTAATTAAAAGTCAGAACTCTGCTGTGCTTCTTTCTATTACTTGTGATGTTGGAATCTAAATTTGATAGATTCTATTAAAAGAATTGTTAAGAAAAAAAAAATCCATTGAAACATAGTTGGTACCATTTTGTGGAATTAAGAGGAAATTTATATCCATTTGCCTAATACTTTTAGCAAAGACATTTACTTAGATTATTAAGTAACTCAGGAAATGTAACAGGATGTCTTTATAGCCAGTAAAATCCTTAAGTAGAATCATAATATTGATTAAAACTATATAAAAAATACGAAAGTTTACTATTCAGCTTGCATTCTTCAGTCAAATCATTACACAAAATGATAGTATATTCACATAAGTGCAGAGAAATTTGAAATATGGAAAATACAGGTCGGTTACTGATGGAGGATCTTGCATATTTCAGAAACCTTGAATTAGTATTCAAGATCTGCACAGAATTGAGGCTCAAAACAAGTATAGTTTTCTTAAAGGGAAAGTATTTCAAATTTCAAATATAAATATATCCTACTTGGATGTTTTGGTAAGGTTTCAATGTATGAGCCCATCATTCTTTACTTTGTCTTCTCTCTCTAACTTGGAGACTGTTTATTTCTTATTCCCATTACACTTGGACTTCTATGAGTCAGAATCAACTCAATGGCACTTAACAATAATACTTGGACTAGGGTGCATGGAGGTTCTATACAATAAGCAATGAACGAACTACAAACCACAAGGAGCAGTGGTCCCAGCCCACTATCTACTCTTCAGGGGAAAGGTGAGGTTTTCTGCTCCCACAAATCTTTATAGACTCATAAACCCTTTTCAGGATTGTTATGAGTCAGAATCCACTGAACAGCATTTAACAATAACAACAATACTTGCAACAATCCTCTTTAGCCAGGTTCAACATGCAAGGTGGCTCTTCATGAATTTTGCGGGTTCAAAGGGGTTGGATACTTATATCTGAAAAAAACATGTTATCTGACAGTTTGGTAAGAGCAAAGTATTCACTATCCTTTCTATGACACTATAGGGTATGCACTGGACTGGTAACCACAGGTCTGCAGTTCAAACCCATCAGTTATTCTCACAAATGTTATGCAACGTTGCTTTGAATCAGAACCAATTCAATGGCACACACTACAACAACTATGCTAAATACACACTGAATTTAGCTGTTGTTATAGGATTTTGCCTTCATGACTCTTTTAAAGCAAAACTGAAAGCAGTAATAATCATTGGATGATCTGAACTGCCAGACTATGGCCAAATCTGATGAGATATAGTATCTTGTAAATTAGGAATATCTTAAGTGAATCTTTTTTTCTTTAAAAACTGCTCAAAACTTTACCTCATTTTTTTTCTCTTAATGCCACCTTAAAATTATTGAGTACTCACTAGATTCTGAATTTTCTGGTTGCTTAAAAAGGTAGAAATGTTTATAAATCATGAAATTTTTGCTTAAACAACATTTAGATAGTTGTTATCTATTTAGCTTATCGAAGTACTGGTGCGGTGCTGTGGGCTAATGTGCTGGACTACAAAGTGCTTGAACCACAAGATCTGCAGTTCAAGCTTACCAACAACTCCTTGGAAACCCTATACAGGGCCATTATGGGTCAGAACTGACTCAATGGTACATAACAACAACAACAACATTTATCTTATAATTCCAATATAAATTCATACACATTAATATTTCAGAAAATGCATGTTTTCCATTAAATATTTTAAACAATTTTTAGCTTTCCTTATTTTTTTTACTCATTTGCTTTCCTTTTTATTAGAAACACATTTAAATATACTTCTTTAGCTATCACTTAGAAACTTTATATAGCTATTACTAGAAGACAAGAATATATGCAATTCACAACAGAATGAAGAAACTCCTTATTTTGAATAACAGTGATTGGAAAGCTATAGTGTGCTTTTGTTCTACTTAATATATATTGTCAAAAATATTTTTGTATTCTCCTAATCATTCTATTTAATATTTTAGTACTTGCATGATATTTAAACAAGGTTTTTGTTTTGTTTCATTTTTTTTAATGGAAAAATGATATTTAAAGTTAAATAAACAGCAAAAACAGAGCGAAATCCCTGCACTTGTCCAACAGATTGATGATTACCTACAAGTCAACAAGAATGAAGCACAGAAACATTCACAAGTAGAAACACACTTGACTCACCGCATGGTGTATAACAAAGTGCCATCCTCTGTGATCCGCAAGAGTTTGTTAGGCATTGTCATGTTGTGGGCCACTGACTTCTTTCCATTGTGAAAGAAAGTATCTGGAGTCCAGATTTTACTTGCCATCAAGTTATTCAATCGGAGAACTGTCATTGGTCCTTTAAACTTTAACCTTTCATCCTTCCAGCTTTGACGGAAAAATACATCTATTGTATATTCCTAGGTAATTTTGGAAAATGGCAAAGTTCATTGTACTGTATTTTACAATAGAAATACCTTTCAAAGATGATGAACAATGTTTGTCACTTTGGAAGCAAAATATGACCCAGGTGATGTTTTTAGAAACAAAATTTTATGCTCTGTACATATTGGTGTCAGGAGAATAACTGGCATCATCATTATTATTATTTATTATTATTATTATATTTCTCTTTTGAAAATAAGGAGCTCTGGTAGCGTAGTGGTTATGAATCGGGCTGCTAACCGCAAAGTGAGCAGTTCAAAACTACCAGCTGTTCAGCAGGAGAAAGATGAGGCTTTCTGTTCCCGTAAAGATTTACAGCCTCGGAAACCCTGTACAGGATCGATATGAGTCGGAACCAACTCCACGCACATAACAACAACAATTTTGAAAATACTTAAAATGTTTTCTTGGTCAGAAAAATTCTGTCAATCATTTCCTTGTTTATGTGAAAAGAAAACAACACCCAGTTCCCAATATGCCAGTCATAAAACAGATAAGCTACATTACAAATTAATTCCAAACTCATGTTAATCAGTAGGCAATTGCCATTCAGTCAACTTTGACTCATGGAAACTCATATATTACAGAATGAAACTATGTTCCACAAGGTAGTCACTGTAAACTTTCAGAAACAGAAAAGCAGGACTTTTTTTCCAAGTGCCTTTGGGTGCAATTGAAATGACAACATTTCAGTTAGTAGCATACATTCAACTTTTTGTACAACCTAGAGATTATTATACCCAGAATTTTTGTAAAACAAGACAACTCCAGCCATAAAGATAATCTATAGTGTTTTGGGGACCCCTTACATAATACCTGATAATCAATCACACAACCAAACCCAAGTCAACTACTGTTCTAATGGAATGTGACAGACCCTTATTCTGTTTGGCTACATTTTTTTTTTTTTTCCACAGATATGGTATATAGACTATAAATTCTTCTAAACAATAAAGACTATGAAAATGATAAATCCATCTTCACTAACATTTTTTTATTGATCTTTTACAATAAAAAATAAGAATACAAAATGTACAAATATTTGCAAGTGCATGTTAGTGAGTTTATGTGTGTATAAGTCACATGATGATTGTGTGAAGTTCATCATCATTCACATTCATGAAATGTATTTATGTGAATAAACATAGCATTCTTTATGGCAATATTTAGAGACAAATATATACTAATCTGAAAAAAAGCAATAAGATTTATCAAGTATCTGGTAGCGTAGTGGTTACGAATCGGGTTGCGAACCTTAAGGTCAGCGGTTCGAAACTACCAGCTGCTCCATGGGAGAAAGATGAGGCTTTCTACTCCCGTAAAGATTTACACCCTCGGAAACCCTGTACAGGGTCGCTATGGGTCGGAACCGACTCGACGGCACATAACAACAACAACAAAATTGAAAAGGGTAATATTCTCTTCCTTACAGTAGTTGCCACACTGATACAAAATTTGTAACTGTCATATTTTCCACTAATTATAGTGTAGTCCACACTGGGAGGAAGACTAACTTGGAAATCTCATGCCACATTTTCTTAGTCCTCTAAACTATTGTGCATCAAGAAAATAAATGTATTATAGTCTTACACATATCATCTTTTTGTTAGGTGCAAAAGAATAGATTCTGACTCATAGTGATCCTATATTACAGGGTTGTTGTTGTTGTTATTAAATGCTGTTGACTCAGTTCTGACTCATAGCAACACTGTATAAGATTTCCAAGGAGTGGCTGATGAGCTTGAACTGCCAACTTTGAAGTTCAATTGACCTTGCAACCAGGGCATTAACCCACAGGACCACACCAGGACTCCATGTAGCAGGGTAAAGTGTATAACCTTTATGGCAGCAGATTCCCAACTCTTTTTTTCACAAGTATTGTTGTTGTTAAGTGCTTTCGAGTTGGCTCCGACCCAGAGTGACCTTGTATAGGGTTTCTGAGGAGCAGCTGGTGTACTTGAACTGCCGACCTTGTGGTTTCAACGAACTTTGAAGTCCAGCGCATTAACCCACAAATCTGCAACAGGACTTCTTTCAAAGGATAGGCTGGTAGTGTTAGGCTACTAATGAAAGATCAGCAATTCAAAACCACCAGCCTATTTCCAAGGATAAGCTGGTAGTTTTGAACTGCTGACCTTTTTGTTAGTACCCTAGCACTTAACTCTCTTTGTTGTTGTTGTTGGTAAGTGCTGTGGAGTCAGTCCAGACTCACAGTAACCCTGTATAGCATTCCCGAGGAGCAGCTGGTGGGTTTGTACTGCGGACTTTGTGTTTAGCAGTCCAGTACTTATCCTATAGCACCAACTCCACATTATCATAAGGACATAACAAACATAATGTTTTTGTATAGTACTTTTGAGTGTGACTATCTCTTTCCCAGGTTTAAACAAGATTAAATAAAACTTAAATGAAGTCAAATCCTTCTGACAAGTTTGCCATTGTTGAGCACTTAATAGTCAAGTAAGGAATAACTATCATTGCATGGTTTATAATGTGTTAGCCATGGCACTAATTCCTGACTGGGACAGAACAAGGAAGTGCAACACAATGGCAATGTGTCTTTGAAGTCAAGAAATGTTATCTTGCTTTGTTGGCTAGGTTTTACTGCATCCTGAAGTGTCAGGTGGAAAGCTCTGCCATACATAACATAGGAATTTACCAATAAACATTTGTTAAGCATATAGTAAACTCAGAAAAGGGAGAAACTGTATACACTTGGGTGTTGCAACAAAACATCATGGTGGAATAGGATCAGCATAAGTTGTTATTTCCCATGAGGAAAGAAATAAAGAGGAGACCTGTGGGTTTCAGAGGGAAGTAATGCAGAGCTGAAGCACTTGACAGGGAAGCAAGGCAGATTGAGGATGGAGAACATGTTGTTGTTGCTAGTTAAGTGCTGTCGAGTCGGTTCCGACCCATAGCAACCCTGTGTAGGGTTTCCAAGGAGTGGCTGGTGAGCTTGAAATGCCAACCTTGTAGTTCAAGCTGACTTTGATCCAGCACATTAATCCTCAGCACCGCACCAGGACAGGTGACAGTGGAAGTCAAGAATTGAAAAGGTTAATTTGGATCTGGATACAGAGCTGGCTTGAAACCTTGGATAGTGGGTCTAGACTTGATTATTTTAGAGCAGGGGTTATTGTTGCTTGTTAAGTACCATTGAGTCAGCTCTGACTCATAGTGACTCTGCATATGGTTTCCAAGGAGTAGCTGGTGAATTTGAACCACTGACCTTTCGGTTCAAATCAACTTTGTAGCCCAACGCATTAATCCACAGTACCACACAGGAGTGGAGAACTTTTTGTTCTGTCAACATTTATAATATCATTCACAGGCCATACACAATTATAAAAATAAAATTAGCCTGAAATATTTGGTCAAACATTTTATTAACTTACCTTTAGTGTGATGGCTGGAACTGCAGTTACCTTGTCAGGGCCGGATCCAATGATTCCATGGGCACATTAACCTGTGGCATTGCAGGTTAATGTGCAGGACCACAAGATCGGTTAGAACCACAAGGTCAGTGGTTCAAGCTCATCAGTATCTCCTTGGAAATCCTATACAGGGTTGGCATGAGTCGGAAATGACTCGACAGCACTAAACAACAACAGTTTAGGCCGCAGGACATGTTCCCCACCTTTGCTCTACAGAGTTATGGAAAGCAGTTTATATTACCTGAGTATTACTTCAAGTTTTTCCTCATGTCAATAATGTAGACATGTCTACTCTGCTCTGTGCCTGTCATCCTTTCTGGGCAATAGATAAGCTTGATATGTAGGGATATGATATATGGTGGTATTTCTATTGATTTAACTACTTAATCTCTAGTCTCATTTGTCTTTGTACTGGTCAAAGGTATAGAAATGGCCACTTACAAATGAAGTTTCCAAGAATGTCCTGGCTGATCTTATTTCATGAATCTAAGAATGTTGTACATTTATTTGCTTGCTGCAAGAAAACTTTTGAAATTAAAACACTTTAAATATAAATAGGCTTATGACATGTTTAGTATCAAATTTTTAGTAAGGAATATTCCATTCAACAACGTGAAAGTGTTCCAAAGCCCTGAGGTGTACATGTTCATCATGTTTAAACTGAATTCTATTGATCCTTGTTAATGACAGAAAATGAAATTACAAACTTTGTTGAAGACATTCTCCTTTCAAATACACACAAACATGCACCCACACACAAAACATGAAGCAAAACTAACAGGGAAAACTTTTATTTTCATTTTCTCTGATGATAGACATATAAATGGACACTGGGGTAAAAAAGCAGCTGATGATTAGCTCCTGAACAATTAAAAGTACATTTGGTCTCTAGTTTTCTGATAACTGTTTGGCCATGATAAGAGCAGTTTGCTACAGGTATCCACTTTTATAACATAACCTTGTATTCATGTTCACAATTTATTAGATCTAGAATGGACATCTAGACCAGGATTGGCCAGAGTACCTTCATTAGGAAGTTGACACAAGAAAGAAGCATGAGGTCATAGTGGTTAGGGATATAAGTTCTAAAGCAACTAACCATAACTGCATTATCAATCTGCCAGATGAATGTTCCTAAGCAAGTTTCTTAGCCTCTCTAAGCTCTAGTCTACTAATACTTCAGTTAGCTACTGTGAGAATTAAATGAGTTAATGCACATGAACAGCTTGAAAGAATGCTTGTTCCATAGACAACTCACAGCAAATGTTAGAAATGATGATTATTTATCTCTCATTTAATGTTTTAATCAACCTAAGTTCATTTTAGACTTCTTATGTAGCTGAGAGTGGAAAAAGTGTTCTTTCCTTGGAAAGGTGGCAGTGCAGAAAAATCCAAAGGAAGTGAGAAGTTGATAACAGCTAAGCCAAGCAATAACAGAAGGCAAAAAAAGGGGACTCCACAGTCACAATGTGTGAGCAAAGAGGAAGCTCTGCTGAATAATTTGTTCAAGCCTCAATGTTCCAGTCCCCATCCCTCAAGTGAAAAGTATTTCGAGTTACTGCAGTAACGCACGTCCCAGGAGAATATTAACCTTACTCTGAAGACCCACAAAAATATGCTTTATGTTCTTAAATAAATATTTACCTGAAGTGTTCCTGCTTGCACCATTTATTATTTTCATGTGTGCCTTGACTTTATACATCTTAACCACTGTGAAAAACAGGGCTCTATGACTGTCTGCCTGAATATTTCTGTCAGAATCTAGTGCCCTGGGAATGCGTTGTTTGATTGCAAATTAATGGTTTTAAAAATAAAGTTAAGATTTGTCCTAATTTTCTTTTCTATTCCAGTTGAAGTCAGATGCCTTGGGAGCTAGGAGGTCTCTAGGGTTTGATGGACTGGGTTCAAATCACTACACTTAACTAGCTAGGTCATGTACCTTCTCTGGAAAATGTGTATAATAATAGTGCTTAGCTAGAAGTTTTGGCATGAGGATTAGAATAAATATGATCTATAAAGTCCTGTGCATGGTTCCTGGCATATGGTAAGCCTTCAATAATTTTAAAGTATGGCTATACTTATTAATTAGATATTTTATTAGTGCTAATTCAGTAAACAACAAAGCTTTTCTTGTTTTGAAAAATAGCTTTGTCATTCTGCTTTCTAATTTGATTGCCTTTAAATCAAACTGCTCTACTTTAAGCATAATTCTATGATGTGGTTTAGATAATTAATTTCCTAGAGAAGAGTGTTGTTGTTAAGTGCCATCTAGTTGGTTCTAACTCATAGCGACACTGTACAGGGTTTCCGAGGAGCAGCTAGTGAACTTGAGCCACCAACCCTGTGGGTCACATTGATCTTGCAGTCCATCACATTTACCCACAGTGCTACACCAGGACTCCAGAGCAGAGTGGTCAGGAGCTCTAGTAGTGCAGTGGTTACAAGAAGGGCTGCTAACCTCAAGGTCAGCAATTCAAAACCACCAGCTGCTCTGTGGGGGAAAGATGAGGCTTTTTGCTCCTGTAAAGATTTACCATCTTAGAAATTATGCAGGGTCACTATGAGTTGGAACTATCTCCATGGCACCCTACCACCACCACCACTTAAAAAAATCATTTGCAGACCTATATAGCCAATTGTATCCATTGATAGAACAATCTAATCATTATCTAGTTCAGAAGTTTCAAGCGGTAGGGAGTATTGTTGGTTTGGACAATATCACACTTTGTTCATTTTTCTTATATGATGGTTGATCAAAGACCATGTGTGAGTTCAAACCCACCAGCTGCTCCTTGGAAACCTTATTCAGGGTTGTTATGAGTTAGAACCAACTCAATAGCACTTAACAAAAACAACAGCATTGATATAATACATCATCTCATTTAACATTTTAATGCTCTTAAAGGAGTAATATATGCATTCTATAGACTGAGAGTCTTAGAATTATAAGTGATTTGTTCAGTGTGAACTGCTGGAAGTGCTAATATCAGAACTCAGAAACCTGACTGATAGAGCCAATCCTCTCTACCACCAAGACATATTGCCTCAAAGAGAGCAAGATTAGCATAGCTAAGAGAAGGCCTGGTGTCGTTCAGCAAATAATGTTGGAATGAGAGAAGAACGACAAAATTTGTTGTTGTTGTTGTTGTTTTTTAATGTATGTATATATAGGAAGAGGAGCTTGAATTTGAACTTAAACTTGACTGGAAATTAATAAATGTTCTTAAGTTTTTTAAAAAATTGACAGGAGGAGAGAGAACAATGAAACATAGAACCTTTGAAAACTTCACAATTAACTCGATTTTTTGAAAGTGACCAAATTTGTTAAAAATGTTGTATCTCACAATATTCTACTAAAGTAGGCAACTCATTGATCTTAATGTTCAAATGAGCTGCCAGAAGAATAAGTCCATAATTATGATTGGAATTTATATTTCTATTTCTTGGCTAGTATTAAGGACTAACATTTGTTGAGTGCTTATTATATATTAGGTACTGTTTTAAATGTTTTGCATGTATTAACTAATTTAACATATGAAATAACTCTATAGAATATTATTATCCCTAATATACACATGAAAAAGTGAGGCACAGAAATATTTAATAACTTGCCTGTGGATATAGCTGTGTAAATGAATGAACTATGACCATCACCCTAGGTATTCTGGTTCAGAAACTTATGTTCTTACCTACCACTGTGTTGTCTCTCATATGCTCTGCTGATTCTTATTTGCATAGTAAGTGCATTTCATAACCTGACTTAGAGCTAATTATCCCCTGGTCCAGTATTTTTCAATGTTTGATTCACAGATCATTAGTTCTACAGAATATTAACAGGTATTGAATGAAGAAAAGGGAGTTTGTACAAATATAATTGAAAAGTAATATATTAGAGCTAAATATGTTTTCTTACTGCAGAACTTGCCAAAGCTTTTACATAGCCAAGGTGAGTTCACTGTGAGTAGCCAGATTTTAGGAAAATTCTAGTCTAAATGGACACTTTCTGAAACTTTTATTCTGAATTATTCAGATGATGCTAACAAACAGACATTTCATAAATAATACTGAATTAATGTATTTTGAAATATTCATAATAGCATGTCTTCATGGCCTCTTTATTATGTTTTCCATACATTGCAGTTTTGCTGTTTTGAGTTTTCAAACATTCTATAATATCTTCACAAAGGTTTACTGATTTAACAATTCCCACCAGATATAAAAAAATAATAATAATTTTAATTTACTTGATTTTGGGAAAGAAGAAATTGGCTTTTATTAATTTAATTTCCATTTTTGGTAATATTTTAATGAGTACCATTTGCAGTGAAACTGAACATTTGTCAATGTCATTTAACTCTTGCACTGTTTAATTCTAGTTAATTATCCACTGTGCTTTCTTACTCGTTTTCCAATTTTAGCCAAAAATAATTCAAGAATGATAGTGCTCATTGTTTGCTGAAAGCAGTGCTTGCTACCTGGAAATCTAGCACCTTTGAATTAACATGGCCTGAAATCTACTCTATGGCAGTAGATTGACGTGAAAGGGAAACTGTACTATTTAGCTTTCAGGGTATCAATTAAGGCAAAGCAACCATTTACAGAGATAGGAAAAAAAAAGAAGACTATAGTGGTTGAAAACTAAAATTTGACATGACCTGATACATTTTTGTTGTTAGGTGTCATAAAGTCAGTTTCAACTCATAATAACTTTATAAATAAAAGGGCAGTTATCTATTTCATAAACATTAGAGTGAGCCCTGGTGGCACAGTGGTTAAGAGCTTAGCTTAGCTTAGTTAAGAACTGAAAGGTTGGTGGTTTGAACCCACCAGAAACTTTGCAAGACAAAGACAGCACAGTCATTTTCTGTAAAGATTTACAGTCTTGTAAACCCTGTGGACATTTCTACTATGTCCCATAGGGTCATGATGAGTTGGAATTGACTAGCTGGCATTGGATTTGGGGTTTTGTATTGAGGGGAGAGGGTATAAATATTATATGTAGTATATTTTACATATTATATAAACATATCGACAAAAATATATATCCAAGCTAAATGAAGTTGTTATCTAAATGTCTAGTCTATATTTTTCTTTTAAAAATACTAGTACCCCAAGAAGATCAAAGATGCTGTCTCACTTACCATATCATGGTCTGAAACAGGACCAAAACTGGTGACGAAGATGTCAGTCTTCACTTCAGTTACACGCTCTGATGAAGCAGGAAATTGGGACAGTGAGTGTCTATCAACAGCACTTATTAGATCTCACAACCACATACTCTCACACAAATGGGCAATTTATTGGCTTTGATTAGCTATTTCTAAAATTGGTCCACTGTGTAGTCTTGATAATTTACTGCTTACACATGAAATTTCACAGTTGATATTTTCTGCAGAGAACTGAGCCTAAATATGCCACTTTGGGAAGCAGGGTCTTTATGGAAAAGTCAGCTTCTGTTAATGAATTCTTCAAACGGACACACTTTCCTAAATGATACTAAACCATTTCACATTGTAATAAAAATATGTTAGCATATTGGTAAAGTAAAATATTCTTATGCAGCCAGCCAGATCCTCAAGGTATTGAGGCTGCTCTTGGGAAGTGTATAGTAATTTGAGTAAGATTTATTAACTCTTTAAGGACTCAAGGGTATATTTTATAAATGATTACTTTCTTGCACTAAATCATAGCTGAATTATCCTAACTAAAGTCTGAAAAACATCTAGCCACCTATGTATGTCTTTTCAATTTTAATAATAAAAAGAACATATTTTGTCATAGAAAGAGTTCATTTAATATACTCAATTTCAAGTTCAATGCGATTTTATTTTATTGGCCTCTAATGGCATATGTCAATCAATGAAACATATTTATTATCATTTATTATCAATACAGACATTTTCAAAGAAATACAGTCACTCACTTTGAAACAGAAAAATGCTTATAGAAAAGGAAACAATTGGTTGAGGGGTGAGTATGGAAAAGATGACTTTATAATTTTCAACTTTAGTTCTGAGAAATTGCAGTCCAGTACCTTAAGCATTTTTCCCCTTAACCAATATATTAACATCTATGGCACTGTAGTGTGTGCTGTCAGAAAATGCGTATATGGTTTCTGAGGTGGGTTTGAAATGACTTTGTGGTTAGCAGCCTAGTGCTTATCCACACCTATATCTATGGCATAGGATATAAAAAAGGTGATCCAGTACATGTAATAATGAATTTCTTTGGAAATCAAGTGCTGATTTTCATCCCGCAGTAATTCTCTTGTGTATAGTTAACACTTTCCATTTAAATTTTCATCAAGGAGTCATGTAAGTTACAACACATAATGTATATTTCAAATGTCCACTTATCTAACCAATTAAGGTCTCCTGGTATGGTGCTGAAGGATAAGCACTGGACTGTAAGGTAGGTTTGAACAGCATGATCAGTGGTTCAAACTCATCAGCTGCTCTCCTAAACTTTATATGGGGTCCCTATGAGTTGGAACCAACTCAATGGTATTTAACAACAACAGAATGTTTAAATGAGCCCCTTAACATAAAATCATGCCAAGTTTATTTTTTAAAAACTTCAAAATGAAGGACAAAGCTTGAGATAAAAACAACAACAACAACAACAAAATAGCTGTGTGCAAGACTCACTTCCAACCTCAGTTTAACAAGTTATGTCAACAATTTGAGAGGCACAGTTGTCATCAATAAGTCTCCGCAGTCATAACATAACCATTTTCCTGTAATATTGTCCATTCTTACCCATCAACCATTCCCTCAATATATACACCTCTCTAGCG